GCAGCCTTAGTAGGTTGGTTTACAGCCTAAATACAACTTATGATAAAAAATTTTCTACTAATTTTGATTGCTTTGTTTAATCTCTTTATAGACTTTGATTCATTCCGCAAGGCAGGTCTGAATAGCCTGATTCCCCATACATCATTCACCAACATCAGCACTCGTAATATGGATGGTTCTAAGTGCTATGATAATATATGGATCAGCAATCAGATTGTGGGTCATTACTCTACTGGACGTGCAGGTATCAATCTATGAATACAGAGTAGTCCTTTTTTGAGTTCCAAATTACTGCTGTGTTCCTTGATCACAGACTCATTTACGCAGGGTTAGCCTCATATAAGTGTCGTGTCGAAATTACTGCTGTGTTCCTGATCACAGACTCATTCACTCAGGGTTACCCTCATATAATCAGGGTCATGTCCAAATTACCACTGTGTTCCTTGATCACAGACTCATTCACACAGGGTTAGCCTCGTATCAGTGTCATGTCCAAATTACTGCTGTGTTCCTTGATCACAGACTCATTCACACAGGGTTAGGGTAAGGGTTCATATGGTTATTTTGATGGGAGCTAAATATCCATCTGTAATACAGTATGAAGGTGTTTACTTAAATTCTTCCAAGGAATTTCATTTAATACAATAGTTTTACAAAGAAAATTTAGTACTAGATTTCTTCTCTGAGCTTTTCGTACTTTTCTAAACTCTCCCTACCCCATCCCGCTACCCCTTTCTCCTGATCAGAGACAGAGAAAGTTATTACATGATCCATTTCTAAAACACAGTTCCCTGCACCCTCTTGAAAGGTAACTTTGCATCAAAGCGAGAATAGAAGAGACCTCGTAATGATAGTGACATGAATAATTGTCCAAGGTGTTAAAAAAGGTCTTTATCATTCCAAGGTCACCTCTTTCCTTCTTCAATGCCCCAGCATAATTACCTTTCAAGACGACGCAGGGAACTATGAGGGAACTATTCAGCAGATGAGTATTGATTATGTTTTTTTTCTGCAGGTGTTTTTCGTGACGGCATGTCACACCCATTTATTCCTGATGGATGGAGGATGAATGGAGTGGTATCAGACCACTGTCCCGTGTGGGCAGAGTTTTACTGTGATCGTGATGTGGATAAGAGTGCTGATGATGCAGATGTCATAGACATCATCATCAACACCAAGTCAGAAATCTAGATGGGAAGGGATTGAAACATGGCCGCCCAATGATAGCCATGGTACATGCACCATCACGTGATGGCAGTCATGAAAGGAGGCACGACAATAGTCATTTCCTCTGGGAAACTGAATTCTTTCTCATGTAAATCGTATTAGACCAGATTAAATTCAGTGGTTGCTGGATCCTGTCATGGCTGCCATCATATGATGGTTCAAGCCATCTATACAGCTATTTCAAAAAAACGTCGGTTAAGGTCTTGTTGATGTTGCATACCAAGCCTGAAATGCACTATGGGTAATTTGAATGCAACCAGTAAAAGGACGCAACGATATGAAAACATTTTCAGGACTTTTTCTGCACCTTTTCCCGGCATATTTTCTTCTGTGCTGGCAATATTTACATATGAATATCATACATTGTAATCTTGGTATGGAACATGTAACAAAGCGTTCACCAACCTTTTTGAAATAGCTCTAAAACACCATTGATACATCTTAGTTTTTAACTTAATATTTTTCTATCATAAACACACCAAACTATCGTACCACATTCTAAAAAGCGCCTTCAAAAGGCTTCATTCACTCCAATCTTTCAAGTCTCGTAAGGAGTAACATAACGGTTGTCTCAACCAATAATGTCAGTAATCCAAATATTTGTTTTTACATTTTAGGAATATTTTTATACTTTTACAACGGGCAATTTGTTATTCAATTTTCATAAATTATAAACAAATATTTTACAATTTTAGTTTCAATATTTAAGCTAACGTATTAAAAATCATGTACTCTTGAGTCTCAGACTATAAAATGGCATTTGATTGATGTTAGGCTTATGTCAAACGTCGAACTTCATATGAGCCGAACCTAATGACATCAAAGATGACCGCCTTGTTAGGTTTGGCTCATGTGAAGTCTATTCTCTAGTTTCACATCCCCATAATACTTTGCGTCTTTGGGGGGCAACCAGAGAGTAAAAACCCACTTATTTTGCTGAAGGCTGATCAGACAATGTTGACAATACCTTGTTTGGTATCCAAAAATAAAATGAAGAAGTAAAAAAGAGAAAAAGATAGAAGCTTGAAGCGTTTAAGGTAAATTTTAAACATTTTTTCGTAAGTCGATACATTTTCTGTAAGACGAAAACTCTTGATGATCTGTACACGCAAAAATAACTTGGAATAAACTGATAATCAGTCTTGTACAGATAAAAGCAGGTATAGTATAAATTCAATTAAGTAACCTTTCAATTTGGGACAGTTTTTTGATTAGTTGCCCCCCAAAAACGCAAGGCATTATGGGGATGTGAAAGTAGAGAATTGCCGGATTACCCTGTCGCGTCTTTTGTTTGAATCAGTGCGTTGAATGCGCAATGAAAAGAGAAATCTCTACTACTATAGATTTAACACTAAGACTACATACATGACTAGCGTGAACTATTTACGTGTTGTTGTTACGTTACGTAAAATAGAAACAAACGATGGAATATTTATTCAATGAAATTTTGCGAAATCCTAAGTGACATTTAAGTGTTGTGAAATACTGACCTCCGAAATCATAAAATAGTTTCGCAAAATACTGAACTCCGAAATCATAAAATAGTTTCGCAAAATACTGAACTCCGAAATCATAAAATAGTTTCNAAAATAGTTTCGCAAAATACTGAACTCCGAAATCATAAAATAGTTTCGCAAAATACTGAACTCCGAAATCATAAAATAGTTTCGCAAAATACTGACCTTCGAAATCGTCCAGTTTAAGCGAATTAGGTGACTTTCGAATTCGTGAAATTAAGGTATCTCGAGAATTTCAGGTAATGAGGTACAAGTAAGAACTACGGCTTAGCTATGAATGGCAGTGGGAATAAATGGGAAATGCTAGTTTAAAGGGCTTGGACGAAAATCGCTCCAAAATTAAAACTCTTTCATTCGAGCTGGAACTTTGCTGAAATAATCTTGAATACATTAAGAACCACTCACTGAAATATCTTTCTGATATTCGAAAGGAAAGGGCCAAAATTGTACGACTTATTTTCGATCGTCCGCCATTATTTCTTTGACTCACAGAATTCGGCTCAAGAGGAATGGCACGAAAAAAAGGGATTTTAATGGGATGTTGCACGAGACGATTTTCAGCGCAACGTTGTGTTTAGAGTTGGCTTCGTGTAACATGGCGCGCTCGGCAACACAAATCGATGGCAACAACGTTGTGAGTTTTGAAGCTCGTTCAAAAACCTGCAAAATGTTGCCGCAACAAAAGATCGTTCGAAATCGTAACTGCGCGCCGTGTTACACGAGGACAACTTTTCGAGCAATATTGTTGCTCGAAAAAATCGACGTTACAATTCGTCTCTTGTAACACCATCTTTATTGGTGGGATTTAGGTCGCTAGAATCTTCACAAGGGAAATATGACTTATTTTCACAGGCATAAAACTCACTAAACATTGGTTGGGTTGTGAACCAATCAAAATGCAGTATGCAATGTACCTCATCCAATCACGATTCTTGATCATGGAGGCCATTCCATATATGGGTGTATATGGTACGTTTTCTATTATATCGAAATTTCAAAGTTCATTCTTTATGTATTTTATAGAGCTATTTGATTTTTGAGGTCGAGAGGAAAATTTCCAATCCAATACTTTTGTCTGAACAGACCTTTTCCCGCGCAAGCGTGCGAACACGACATGTTTCACCCCTCCCCCGAAATAGAACCGATTCTATTTTTAGAACCTAATTTTTCAATAAAGCCACCTGTACGAGCACAATGTCTACGTTGCCGTTGCCATGGATACCGACTGTAATCTCATTAATATTGACTTTTTGAAAACCGTTACTAGTTTGTCAATTTTTGTCCCGTTTTATTTTTAGCTCATCCTTAAATCGAGCGAGAAGTGGTCGGTCGGAATATATTGGTTGTTCAAAGCTTAAAACTAAGGTCGGCAATCAGTCTTTTTTAAAAACTTTTTTTTTCATTTAAAAAATAATTTTATTTCAAAATCATAAATCATTAAAATAAATTTGATAAGAAGAACGAAATATTTTATATTGTTAATACAGAGCTAAAAATATTTACAACATTGTCTTCATAGTCTAAAATGTTTTGACACTACGAACACCAAAAAGAGAGGATTTATAAAAATGCAGTATTTATAGCACAAAATTATTGTTGACATTTAAAATCTTTTGTCATCTTTTCATGTATTTATTTAACTTTTCGTGACCAAACCATTTCATATCACCTCTCCCCCCACAAATATAAAAATTTCCCTAAGGGCTGGGGGACAGGCATTGGTTTGTAGTGATTCCGATCTTCCAAATCTGTTACGTCAAATGTTTTAGAGTTCATTTATAACCGTAGTTTTTTCATCTTTATTGCTGTTTCCTAAAACGTATAGCTTTTTAATTGTCTATCAATACTTTCTATTTTTTTGTAAGCAAAAATCTTTTTATATGCAATTTAGCTTCATATTTTTCTTTCTAACTTTATTCTATTTTCATTTCAATTTGTGCTACTATTTTTCTTTATTTCATTCGTTTTCCTATTTAATTTTATTCATTTTCTAAATATTCAATTTATTTTATCTCGTTTCGTTTTGATTCGTTTCGTTTTATTTTGGCTCGCCCTCCAGTACCCAGGTTCCCTCTTCTTATTGACATTCGAATTCTTAAGAACTGGGCTTCCTGTGTGAGACGCTCTCAAATTATTCTTCTTATCATGTTTGAACAGGTATACAAAGAAGCTATTTATGGATGGAGAGAAAACGGCCTTTGTTAACAGATGCTAAATATAGTGTCAAGCAAGCCAATGACACCGGTCTGTTTCCCTAGTAACGGTCACAAACATACCATCCAATGTTATTCTGAGCGACTTAAGTTACCAAGAAAAGACCTAATGGTCTCCAGATACTCTAGAAAATAGCTTTTTTATCAGGATTTTTTTGCTTAAAATGTCAAACCTGTCTCTTTATTGTTTACTTTTGCAGACATAAGAGACTGCAATTTAATTTTTCCTAAGCACACAGCGTAAATAATTTTCATCCCGACATCATCAGTCGCCAAACTCATCTTCCAACTGGATTTTTTTTTCCAGAGTGTATTAACCATATTCAATGTTTTGAAAATACTGAAATAGCGGGCGTGACATATTCTATACAATAATTTTTTTKGTATTGAGCAAGTTCAAATATTTTATCGAGGTCTTATGCAATAGTTCATTGTCTCTGTGTGTATTTTTAGCTTGGGCAACCAAACAAACGCATTGTCATTGAGCATTCTTCTAACCAACTAAGTATGGAATTGCTCCACGCATGTACTATAAATCTTTAGTAACATTATTAAGTCTATAAAAATTTTCAGCAAAACTCTTTTATAATTCATAAATGTATATAATTCATTAACACATTAAAAAAAAAAGTTTTGAATAGAACATTCTCGAATTCGCTTATCGATTGACCAAGAAACAATGGCTTCAACTCGAGGTTGGACCTGATGTCTTTATACATTTACTGCGGCATTTTATCATGTCCATCCTCTAGCCATTGTATCGTATTTAGGAAGGGTCTTTGCTATGAAACTAATAGTACTTCAGATTTACAGCAACGCACATAGCGTGCCGTATGCATTAACATCGAAATGGCTTTCCATTGTTTCTGTGATTTATCCAATCACAAGGCTAGAGACTTCGTAGGGGTGGGAATTTTTACTGAAGCCGTACGTATTTTTAAGGCAGCCGTAACAACATTGCAACCTTATTAGATGAGTTATATACGATGATAAGCTCCCCATGCTAGCATTTTGTACCGTGCTGTAAATCAGTATCGTTATTTCTGAGAGGCTCAATCATACAAATGCTGGTCCAGTACGACTAAGAAATTTGCCGTATAGTTTTTAATCCCCACCCCTCATCTCCCTATACCTGTTCCCTTCACCCATCCCTAATCACCCTTCCCGGCCGGTCCCGTTTTTATTGACTACTTCCCACCTATCAGATCGGCTTACTGGTTCAATACAAAGCATAGGATCGAGGCTGATATCAAATGTGTACCTCACAGCCTCGATTGAATGCTTTGGGTGAACTGGTATGAAAGTCGGTCACTGAGTTCCATAAGTATTATATCACAATATTTCAGTTATGCAATGCAGGAACGTCTCGATTTGCATATTTCTCTTGTTATTGGGCTTAAAATATGCAAAGTACTTTGACGTCATCCAAGGAAGTTGTGATGGTTTTTGCGTATTCTAAATGAAATCCAATTTCTCAAATATTTCCATTCTATAGTAAAATCGTAAACTCGTGCTTTTCGACTTTCATACTATACTAATAGGAATACTTCCTTAGGCTGCGTTCATAATGTATGGCAGAGGGGGATGGGT